TTTAATATTCTTATTAATTTGCCCTTTTGTAAAGCAACGTAATTATAAACTTTATGGAAGAATACATATTTGATGTGTTCGAAAATCATGCACATAAATCCGACTAGGATTCAAGATCATTAATAATATAAAGAGAGAGAGAGAAAATTAAAAACACACACAAAAAATATATTTTGTTTTCCCGATAAATGTAGCGTTCATATATGTACAATGCCAGTATTGATAATATAAATATGCCTTGGTGTTGTCTTCTCTTTTTCTTTCTTCCCTAACAGTAATTATACGTCGAAACTTTGCATGATTAGTTTGTTTTTCTTTATAATTTCATGTATTTTAATGTGACTCAAAGTACACACACACGTTTTTAAATTTTAATTGAGAACAACTCCTTTACCAAAATTGTATAATTCAAAATGAATGCACGTTAGTAGCATTTTGTCTATCGAACAATAAACTTATTACAGACTCAATTGAGCATACAAAGGAACAGGAATGGGAGACTGATTTTACTCAATGATCATGACAATGTAATGATTCTTGTTCAGATGATATCATGACATCTACCATTCTTTCTTATGCTCGTCCATTGACACACCTCCAGGTCCTAAGGAAACTATCATTAAAAGGCCACCGATTACTGATAATGTCTGAAAAACAAAGAAAAGACTTATACATAACATGCACAGTCAATGAAATCATGACGCACATATACGCATAGCCTTATATAAATAATAATCAAATAAGATATGATTAAAACTTACCTGAAAGAAGTCATACTTGAGGAAGTCCCTTAGAGCTTTATACTCTGGAATAGTCCACCATGCATTGTGATAAAGATTTAATGCTGTCAGTAGTAAGACAAGTAGCAATGCACTAAGCTTTGTCTTATATCCTATAGTGACTAACACCATCAGACTACTTCCAAGGATATCTTGCAGTATTTGAAGGAAAGATACTTCAAAACGAATTAATGTTGTAAACATAAATGCTAGTAAAATTCTGCCAGCCAACTGCAGAAGATTCTTAGGCTTGTTATCTCCAAGGCTCGGTACACCGGCAAACAATGATCTTCCCTCTACCCTTGATTCGGCAAGGACCAAAAGAAGAGCACCAATCAAAGCCAAATTTCTAAATAGAAATGTTACATCCCACAAGATGTTGTAAGCCAGTGTCTGAAGGACCACGATGAAAAACAAGATTCCACACGCAATGCTGACTTTCCATCTTCCGATGACCATAACACAACCACCAAGCTGCCCGATCAAATTGACCAAGACGAACATAGTAGCTAGGAAGGTACCACAGTTCCAACTGTTATTGATAAATTCTTTTTGTTCTACCCATTGAAACCACATCCTCAAACCATCTTCCAAAAATGTGGCAATAAGGCAAAGCCTTGCGAGGGTCGGCAATATGTGCTTTCCATTGCGAATCACCTGTCGTTACAAACAAATAGCAGTTACAATTATGATTCCAATTTAACATAATAACAATTTTATACATAGATGAACACAACATGCGGCAACGAAAATGAATATTCTTATACATATTTTCTGGTTTGCTATCTTTATTGATTCAATCCATTCAATAAGTGAAACTACAAACAATTTTCATCCTAGCTCGGGTGAACAGTATCATTCGGTAACATACATTTATTCCTTAATGCATAACCTTTCATTTGGTAACGTGCAGACGATAATGTACGAAAGTTTACAATATTTAGTAGGAACAGAGACACGTTGCATGAAGAATTGTTCAAAGAATGAGAAGAATTAGATTGAAATATGCGAATGCGTAAAGTAATCGTGTCACGATGACGTTGACAGGAGGAGTAAGTACACTTGTGTTCCTACAGGATTTCTGCTGGTGTTCTGTTACAAGTTCGTTCCCAAAAATAAATCCGTCAAGAGAAATAAAATAAATTTAGCACGACGGCTTGTAAATTCACCTGATCTGCGATTTCTTCCGCTTTTGAGATCACTTCCTGCGAGATCAGCATCTTGTTTTATTTAAAAATCAAAAAATACCCACACACTTACGTATGCACACGTGCGCGCACGCAAGTGGTACCGATGACGGAAAGCACCACAGAAAGAAGAGAAGAACAGAGAAGGACAGGTAACGATAGGGGAGAGGGGGAGAAATCAGAGAAACACGGAACGGCCAAGCAAAATGCCCCGTGTACGAACGTAATGCGATTGTGTTCAACTGGTGAACGATATCCTCTCACACAACTTGTTATTCTGATTCCGAATGATGTGGAGATCGTGGTAGCTATCGCGTCACTTCCGGCATACGTGGTCGAGCAACTTATCCAGCGATCTCGTACATGAAAAAATACAAAGATCGTCAACTTAAAATTGTATATAATTGCACTTTCTCTTCTGATACAGCCTTTCGACACACTATTACGTCGTTGTCTCTAGAGCTCGCCTCTCCAATTTATATTCATTTCTAATTCCTATAGTATTCCTATAGTATAACCATATATAACGATAATACTATATATATATATTCTGTTCTCTGTTTTCCTTTCTACGCTTCCTTCGCTCATGCTGTTCACGCCGCTTACGCACTTTATTTCATTATTTCTGCTGGCCACTGCTGGCGACGGCACTGTGCGGTGCTGTATTTGTATACAAATAATTGTTTATACCCACATGCAGCGGTAAAGAATACTACATGTGGAATGGCGATTTATAGAAGATTTACATTTTGTATGCAGTCAACAAATTTATTACGTATAAGGTAAACTGTTTCTATGACTGTAGAAAATGAACTATATAGAGAATGGTTTCTCACCACGTGTTTGGATGAATTTTCTATTAATTACATTTAACTACTTTCAATGTTAAGAACGTGATAATCTTGGTTGTCACATTTTTCATGGTTGCTACAAAAAACGAATTCGTTGCTGTTTTAGAAATTGCTCATTAAATTTGTACCAGAGTGCTTCGAAGAATACATTAAAATCTATAAAGGAGAGCATCTTCCCACTAAAACCAAAGAGACCACTAAGTCCTTTCCTGTTGTTCATAAAAGAAGCAAGAATCAAATTTCTTAAGCAAGATCCTAGTCTCAAACAAACAGAAATAGTAAAGAAAGCATCAAAAGAATGGGCAGAACTAGATCCCAGTGAAAAAGAAAGTTTTCAACAAATATACGATAAGAATTATGAGCTCTATGCTCAGCAATTGAAACAATACAATAATTCTATTACTGATGAACAAAAACAGTTATGGGAAGAAAAGAAACAGCAGTTTAGTAAAAAACTTAAGGATTTAAATATTAAGCAGGTAATTATCTCAACGCATAGTATTGTGTACAAACATTATATTATTTAATTAAGATCAGTGGTTTGAATGTAAATCAAAATTTATTTCAGAAAAGTGATACATTTGGAAAGCCAAAGAAACCACCAAGTGCATTTCTTTCCTATTTGATAGAAATGAAAACTGAGAAAGATCCAACTGTACCTTTTACGGTATGGCTTATTGGTATTCAATCACTACTATTTGATGTCGATAAAATAATCTGTTTGTCATGTTCCTTTCATTATTCTAATACTCTTTTTTTTATTTATTTTTCATTAGGATTGGTTAAAATCAGTGACTAAAAACTGGAATCAAATGTCAGAAGCAGAGAAGAAACCTTATACTGATAAAGTTACAGAATTGATGGTACAGTACAGGAAGGATTTAAATGAGTGGGAAATGAAAATGATAAACTTAGGTCATACCGATATTGTAAGACAAATAACGTTGACAAAACAAAAACGTGTGACAAGTGAACAATAGAAATAAAAGCGAGAGTGTATTATTTTCGTCCATTAATAAATATGTAGTACTTTATTTAAACGGTACTTAGTAAACATAAAGATCATGCAAAGACCATCAAAGAATGTACACATAAGAATCATTTGCAAATCTTATTTTATGAAACATCAGATCTTCAGATATTTCGGAGCCTTCCATTCGTCTCACTAAAATATTCATTTTATATACACATTTTTACTTTTTATTTATAAAATTTAATGCTTTGGATGCAGGGCTTCAAATAGTTGGAATGTTTGTATTATGTGAATAATAGAAGTCCATAATGTATGAGTGTAAAACTGAAAATATACAAAGCTAAATCACCAAATATCATATGAACTATTGTCACCAGTTTTTTCAATTGATATGTCAATTCAGGCTTTATGTTGCATAAAATGAGAGCCGCGTACAGTAGATTATTTTCTTGCATTTCTCGAGCGTCTCTATAATTGTATAGGCGTCCCAACATTATTGGAAAATATGGAATTGTGATGGTCTAAAATATTCAATCAATTATTGTATATATACACTCTGTAAGTATATGTAATTTACCTTTCCAAACAAGTGATCCAATTGCAGTAAAAGTAAAATATTGACGACAATGGCTAATAATATGTAATTTATACGATTTGTCAATAATTTGGGGGGTAATGTTTTCACCTTACTCGAAGTACTGTGAAGACCTTTGAATATAACACTTAAATTACTAAGCTTGTTCACATCATTTGTAAAAAGACTCAAAGTAACATCGTATATTACCTGGTATCTGACCATTTACATTTGTATATAAAGTTTCTTCTGTATCTATAGGTTCAAATGGTGGACTAGATAAATTCAAATTTGTGGCTGAAATCAAAACACAAAAAGTTAAATGATGGACTTTAATGGACGATTGGATATTTTTGCCAATTAAGTGTGTCACTTACATTTCAGTTCATTGTTGTCTTCCCTACCAGTGATTTTTGATAATCGTTTTTCAGAGTTCTCTAAAATTCGCCTCCTTCTGGCATCTCTCTTGGCTTTGATATCATCCATCTCCTAGTTATATCTTTTTACTTCTTTGTCCATGTAAATAATTGCATAAATAATTTCAGTTTGTATACTGAAGTGTCAATTATCACTATTGGATCTATTTTTCTCCTCACATTTGTGACAGGAAAACAAAATTGATGAAGTTATTGATGCAGTATGTAAATACCAAATGATACAACACTTTAGAAAGGAGAAATAGGAAGTTCGATGAAGAACAAGTATTGTTACATCGTGTAATATCCTAAAGGATTCTTGTTAGAATTTGCTTTTAATTAACGTATAGTATTTTGTGAAACGTATATATTGTTCACTTTTTACTTACAGTTCTCTGAGGTTATTTTACATCACAGTGAAAGTTTACGAAATCAACGCCCCCTGTTACCAGTTACCATCACTTGTTTTACTGATAGCGACTAGCAACAGTAGCAACTTCAATCGTTCAATCTTCAATCAAACCAACGAGGAATGTCCGTGAATGTCCAGCAATATTATCGTATATGACGTGTAGCTTGCAGT